GGCAACAAAATTTACGACCAGGGCGAATTTTCAATCGCAGCAGGCGGTCTACAATAAATACTAAAATATATGAACACCGTACAAAAAACGAAAGGAAAAATTTTTCATCCGTCAGCTAAGAAAGTGAGAGTTTTGTTACTTCTTTACTGGAATTCGTTTATGGCAGACTGTAAAATTGTGTAATTCAGGAAGGCCAAGGAACTAAATCAAAGAACACGGTGTGGAATTGGTGTTTTCATTGGAATGACATATACTGAATGATATATAGTGTATTTTCCAGTGGAGATGATTTATGGAAGAATATTTTCAAAGGAGTGATACTTGCCAAGAAGATGAAAATGGTGATTGAAAAAAATGAAACATGGTTTGTTTTAATTTATTGCCATGATGGTCTATAAATTTTTTAAGATAAATTCAACACCAATGTTACGAACTACAACTAGCGAAAGTAATTTCAGTGTTGTTTCTAGCTGTTAAAGTTTTTTCCCTATTTATTTTTATTTTTTTCGAAAATATTTTGTTAGAAATCCCTAATAAATAAATGTAAAATTGTAGGAATCTGGTCTATTTTTTTCCAACATCAAAGTAACTGATGTTTACAAGCATACGGGAAAACCAGACTGTTAAAGTATTGGTAAATAAATAAATATTTCACCTGTCAGGAAACAGTTTAAAGTTTTGTTACTTCACTCCTGGAATTGGTTTATGGCCAAAATTAAAATTGTGTAATTTTGGAAGACCAAGAAACTAAATCAAAGAGCATGGTATGCAAATGTTATTTTCAAAAGAAAGACATACACTAAATGATATATAGTGCATTTTCAGGTAACGATAATTTACGGAGAATAAAAGAAAAATATTTTTATAAAAATGACGCGTTTTAAATAAGAAATTGGCTATTGTGATTGAATGATGAAATATAATCAGTTTAATTTATTCTCAAGCTGTTCTATATTTTTGGAGATAAATTTAACACTACAGAAAGATAAATTTATATAATAATATTTCATGAATATTATTGCCTACTTTTTTATTTATGCGAAAATCTTTTCTGATTTATCTGCTGTCTGGAGCAAGCTAGTAGCCATGAAACTTGTACATTATGACAAAAAATAGACTAAAAGTGTCATTCTAAAAAATCTGTAACCTTAGGATCAACAAAACAAAAATTTGATTTGAAATTCCGACTGCCGAATTAAGTAAGATCAAGTATTTGTATAAATGCAACCAAAAACTTGTTCCCTAGTGTCACTAGTTAGGGTGATTCGTCAAATATTGTTTTCATTTCTCAACTTGATAATCTGCGTACTACCTAAATACTCTAAACATTACCCACTCATTACATTACCATTACCAGAAGATTACATTAAGTATACGTTAAAGTGATAAAATAACAGTTATGTTTCTGCACGCTTAAATTAGCATTATATTATGCATGTACTTTTCATTATCTAAAACAAATCAAGTTAATACAATCAAGCTATCAACAAATTTGTTGATAGAACCAATCATCAATCAAATTTAGAATTATAAAGCCGAGAATTAACCCTTTAACGCAGAATTTTTATTAAAAATATTTTTTCATACTTTTCGCATTGATATGTATTAATTTAGGTCAAAATGAGTAAAAAATATTAAATTTAGCATTATAGTTATTTATTGTTATGTAATACAGCATGAAACACTGGTGTCTTTTTTTCTGCGTTAAAGGTAAAATCTTCCAAACACGGATCACTTCCAAACAATAATTTCTCAAATTTGCAATTATTTAGATCAAAGAGAAAAAGTTATTCTTCATTGAAATTTTTTTAATTTGCAAAATCAATTATTACAATTTTTTGAAAAAAATTTATGCTATTTTTATTGGATTTTATATTTTAGTAAAAATATAATTCCGATAAAATAACATATATTTCAGTAACTCTAAGACAGTTTTTTTATAAGTAAAATATACAAAAAATATATTTTTGCTTGTAAGTAGAGAGTCAGAAATATACATAACAATATGTAAATTTCCTTAATTGTAATATTATTTTGATCTGTATATAATATATATAGATAGATAGATAAGGGTCAGTCCAATCTACGTAAAATATTACAATTAAGGAAATTTACACATTGTTATTTATTTACTTTTCAGTGTTTAAAGAGCCAAATCAAAATATGAAACTAATAAGATGACAAAATGACGAAAAAATACTTTTGAAACGTTACGGAAGCCGTCAATGTGCACATAACTTAGATAAAATGCGAATAACACTCTTGATACCGCACTTTAACGGAACAAATCAATTAATCTGCAGAGTAGCTAGGATGAGCATATTAAAAACTTTCGCGATCCTCAGCGCCGTGCCAACATACACATTGGCGCTTTAACCTTTTCAAAGGCAGTGAAAATTTTTAATGTCCATGTTAACTTTTCTACCACTTTTAGCTTATGTTTCCATATGTTAATAATTTCAATTTTCTTGAATTGCGTTTGAATAATATTGGCAACCATTTTATAGTATGAGAAAACATATAAAAGTTATAGCATTTATAAAATTTATTTTATAAATAAAGAAAAATAGGAGTCAATAAGTCCCTAATAGATCATGGTAAATATACTTAGCACGAAAAAAAAGGGCGTTAAAATTTAAATTAATTTTTGCAGGCTAAATAAATTTTCCTTTTCTTATATCAATTACTATTATTATATGAATTTCAATTACGAAAAATCTTTAATTTACTTTTACTAGAAATAAATGGCCCGCTAAAGGATTAAATAAAACATATGAAGTACCTGCTGCATACCTTCCAACTACTACGGAATTTCAGTAATTTTAGAAATCTGGATTTCCAGTGGTAACAAAAGTAATATCATATTGTAATAAATTAGATTTAAAAAAAATCTGTCCGACACTACTAATGAATAGTTTTGTAGCGTATCTACCACTACAAAATTACAACTACAATTCAATAGTATATAAGACATGTAAACTCGACTCTATGTCGGGGTACCTTTTCATAGATGACGGTTGACATTGTCGAATTTAACTCTCCATTGGTGACCCGGACGTGATGTGAACACGCCTACCTTGGCAGTAACGCCTTCTTCGATATGAAGATGCCTACCTAGACTGTAACGCCTACTTCGATGGATGATCCACATTGAACAGATCCACCTCCTCGCACTGTTGCTACTCAGTCTCGTCTCGATCACGCACAACGTCGTCTTGCATACTTGTGATTACTCGACTGCTAACGGCAACAGAGGAGCGACTACGATCGTGAAGTTAATACACCTCTCACATTCAGCTCTCAAAAAATACGGTGACCTTAATACAGCTCTCCCGGCTTCTCACAAAACAGCAATGAATCAACTAGTGGTATTCGTTCATCGAATTCTATCACAGACATAATTCTAGTGGGGGAGTACTGTAGCGTATCTACCACTACAAAATTACAACTACAATTCACTAGTATATAAGACATGTTAACTCGACTCTATGACGGGGTACCTTTTCATAGATGACGGTTGACATTGTCGAATTTAACTCTCCCCACAGTTTCAACAAACATAAAGGCCAGATTGATAAATGTTCATGTTAAGTTCCTATAAGAGTTTTAATAAAAATTCGTTATGTCAGACATGTCAACAGTCTTTGGTGAGAAGGAAGATAGGGAATTAAAACCATTTCAGTTATAGATAGACTTAACCTGTTCATTTCTCTAAACTATTCAATAGTACAGTATTTACTCTTCAAGGAAATAAATGCAGTTTTATCTAAATCCGTAGTTGAAGAAATAAAAAAACATTTATTAGTTAGAGACATTTTAATTTTCTCGAAAAAAGTACTAAAATTAAATGTCTTTCGTACCAGTTTTTGCTCTATTCCGTCATGATATATATACGTTTTCATCCCTAACTTGCTCCGAATAGCAGATGATAAATGTTTTCGAAAAGTAATACTTTTAATGTATCATTTTTGGTTTAGTGAAGTTCCATTTATAAGGTTTTTACTCACCATTACTTCTGAATAATTCTCAGGCTTAAGTGATACGATACTTTCAGGGCTGCAAACTTGCTCCACTTTATAAAAAAAAAATATATTTTCAAGTGCTTTCGAAATTTAAGTAAATTTTATTTCAGTATTTTTTCCGTTAAAGTAATTTTTTCTCCGCTACAAATCAAGAACTTAAAGTACGGTATGAAATGCAACTTTATTGCAAGTATCTCGTGGTGACATTTTTAAAGTCAAAGTAATTATCCATTTTTTACCATTTCCTTCACTACAAATTTATTAAAACTTTAGCAAAAAGAGCAGTTGGCATGCCTGCACTTTGTTAAAGCTGAGCATTTTAAAAAGTTGGTAAAATTAAACGAAAATCCGCAACTTTTAATTTGTACTCCCCTACCGTTTTTTTCTAAACATTCTATCGAATACGGAGGAGATGGCATTTCTGCTGTTATGTTTTAAAAACTTCTGTTTCGGTTTATTGCAGCTGGAAAAAAATAATTCTCAAAAACTTCAAATGCCGAACAGTAGGACAAAAATCCATAAAACGAATAAAATGTTCTGAGATTTTTTTCATTCTCACAAACTTATTTAAATCAATTGTAAATCGATATGAAATCGGTAAAAACAGATTTGAGTAAAGTTTTACATGATTTATCAAATGGAAAAAAGGGGCGTAGTGTCCAAATGTTGGACAGAATGTCAAGAACTCTTGGAACGAAGAAAATATACCACGATCTTTTTTTTTCATTCCTGCAAACTTATGTAGAACAATTATAAATCGATATGAAATCAGTAAAAACAGAATTGAGTAAAATTTTATAAGGTTTACCAAATGAAAAAAAGGTGACTTGACTCCAAATGTTGGACGGTATGGGAAGAACTCATGGAATGAATGAAATATACCACTATTTTTTTTCATTCTCACAAATTGATGTAGAACAATCATAAATCGATATGAAATGGGGAAAATAAAATTGAGTAAAATTATATATGATTTACCAAATGAAAAAAAGGTGCGTAGAGTCCAAAAGCACACAAAGCAGCTGAGAACATGGTGAGAAGGATGGGTCGGCTACGTAGGGGTGCCCAATCGAAGAAAGGAGGCTTGTCTGATACTCCTGATTTATCTTTGATCTTCTTCCTCTGATTTTTTAAGTGAAGGATTGCTCTTCGTTGAGGATGGTAAAGTGATGCTGATCTGTAGCAGATGCCGATGAAAAATGGAGCAACAGCCATTCCCGTGATCGCATGGAGTCCTAATCTCCATCCTAATGTTCTGGAAAAATTAACAAGCAATAATTATAATTAATAAAAATTTAACAAGTAACAATGCTCTGAATAAAATTTACCAAATTACAATAATAATTAATAAAATTTAACAAATAATAATGTTCTGAATAAAATTTAACAAGTAATAATGTTTTGAATAAAATTTAACAAGTAATAATGTTCTGAATAAAATTTAACAAGTAATTATTAAAACTAATAAAATTTCACTAGTAATAATATTCTGAAATAAAATCAAATAATAATGTTCTGAAAAAAATTAACAATTATTAATTATAATTAATAAAATTTAACGTGTAATGGTGTTATGAATAAACTGTAACAAGAAATAATTATAATTAATAAAATTTAACGAGTAGTATTGTTCTGAACATAACTTTTAAATAAGCAACATTATTTACGGAAAACAACAGCATTTTATGTAAACAACGATAAGTACAGTGGTTGGAAAATTTTGGAAACACTTCTAAACTATCTAACTTTTTCCTATATCTCAAGAAATGTTTAAACAATTATTTTAAAACTTTAGAAGTGTTTAAAGCGTGTGATTTCTTGTACATATCAATAAAGTTTAAAACCTTTAGAGGTTAAAAATTCCGGCAATAAATTAGAAACGTTAAGGAATGTTTTCAAATTAGCTATTCCAAAAAATACAACGATAAGCTTGTAATTCAATTACATTGATTATCATATAAAATAACTGCACAAAATTTCAACCTAGCACAAGTCTAGCTTAAATATTATTGAGATATGGACATTTTTATAAAAAAAATTGCTTCCTTTTTTTTACTATAACGAAAGAAATATTCAATAAAATTAAACAAAATTTCTAAAGTAATTTTTAATTAATAATAAAAATATCATTTTAAAATAAAAATTGTTCAAGATATGAGTATTTAAAGTAATAATGATGTTTTTATTGTTAAAATTGTTAATGGTTTTTTGTTAAAATAAAAGGACGTCTTTATTATTAATTAAAAATTAATCGAAAAATTTTGCTTAATTTTATTGGATGTTTCTGCAACTGTAGTAATATTTTAAATATTTAAAAATATTTTAGTTTAATAATTCTTCTTCTTTTATTATTAATCTTTATTATATTTTTTCATGTTTGTCATATATATCAAGCGACACTTATACTGAAAAGTTGAACTAAAAATTTAAAACTGATTGCTTCTAAATGTTTACCGTTACAACTACTGTTCTTTAAACACCATACAGTATATCACTTGATTTAGAATTCACAGTCTATGGCAGAGATGCCAACTTGGTTCGCTTTGTAAAAGAATAGTGATAATGAATAATCGAGTGATAATGAAACTTCAGTTATTTTCAGTTAATTATATTTCATTTTAAGTCATTGTTCCACCACTAAATTTCAAGCATTCAAAGTACCACATGAAGTGCAACTTTATTGCAGTTACCTAGTAGCTACCATAATGATGCTAAACCAAATATGTTTATAATTCAATGTATTTTATACCTTCATGATGTAGGGGATATGGGCCGCTGCGCGGCCCAGGTTCCCAGTTTTTGATAAATAAAGGAAAGGTACAGTTACCTAGTGATGGCACATTTAAAGAGCAGGAGTTGTTATCCATATTCTGTAAGTTTTGCTATTCAATTCATCACCAATTCATTAAAGGTTTGAAGACGGTGGACCAATTGGTATCTCCGGTCTATGGTCACAAAAGCCAATATGATCCCAGTGTCAAATTTTCGATCAAATTTTGCTGTTCCGGAAATCTAGCTCTGGAAAACTAAAACACTGGCAGTGAAAATATTTAGAGAGTCTGCTATATCTTATCAATTTAACTGCTTCAGCGTTGCTTCCTCTTTAATAAAAGACAAATAAGCGTTCTAAAAGTGTTCACTCTTTCAAATTATAAATTAATAATTTGAGTGCATTCTATTCTTTACTCATTTTGGCAATACCAAGTTCGTTTGAAATGCTAGTTTACAAGTATAGAAAAGCCCCGTCGTGGCGCTTTTGCTCTAAATTATGTGATGGAAGGAGGTTCGCTTATAAAGCTGTAACAGCTTAAACGTTATGTATGTTTCAAGACTTTAAATCTTGAATGATTAAGAGGTGATGCTTCAAATATCGTTTAAAAAATTTTATTATCTGTGTTTTAGATATCTTAAAACACTATTAGGCCTAAGTATGATAACAATCAATTTAAGAAATAAAAATATTCATTTTGAAAACAAATCATATTCACATATTAATTTAGAAAAAGAACTAAGCATTTTAAACATTCGCTTTGTAAATTCAATTTATTATTAAACATTTTGTTAAATGAAATACTACTTTTCCATAGTTTAATTTTTATTTTAACTACAATGTGTTTTGTTTTCTTTAGTGTTGTTGATGTTTAAAATTACCTAATGATGCTTGAAAAACTGTATGAGAAAACAATGACTCCACATCCTGTTCCTGATGTAACGATGATTTCCACTTTTTCTCGCCTTCTCTTGAAATACTGTCCTATCATCAATGATGATGTCACTCGAGCTAGACTAAGTCCTAAGGCCATAACAAGTCCATAACTAACAAACACCTATAAGACAATTTATAAGTAAGAACTAGATCCCAAAGTTTAGTAGGATACAGTACAAATGTATTCGTTATTCTGAACAAACAGTAGCTTTAATCGATTAGTTCGTGAAAGCATACGAGATAATTTAGTTGTTGTTGTAGTTGTAGTTCATTTACGTCGCACTTGAGCTGCACAATGGGCTATTGGCGACGGTCTGGGAAACATTCCTGAGGATGATCCGAAGACATGCCATCACAATTTTGATCCTCTGCAGAGGGGATGGCACCCCCGCTTCGATAGCCCGACGACCTGCGCTCGAAATCGAGCACTTTACGGTAGCACAGTTTAACGAGGACCAATACCGCACACCCTCGGTCCCTACGCAGACTGATCCAAGTGGTCACCCACCCGCACACTGACCGCAGCCAGTGATGCTTGACTTCGGTGATCTGCTGGGAACCGTGTCTTAACGATCAGTCCACTGCGGGACTTAGTTGTTTTAATGGATAGTTTGACTGTAGTTGTTTTAAAAGATAGTTTGACTGTAGATTCCATAAGAACTGCATTTAGCTTTAAAATAAAGAGGAAAAGTTGACGTGTTATTGGGCGTATAACTATGGCACTCTTTCTCAAAACAGACAATGTGTGAATGATGAAAACATAGTTAGTTTGTAATATAAAATAATATAATAAAGGGCTCAGTTCCCAACGAAAATAATTAAGAAAGAAAATTAATAGATAAAAATCAAAAATTAAATTAATTTCCCTTAAAATTGTTTTCTCCTAATAATCCGTCGTAAAATAAAACGATGCTTTTTTCTCGAATAATGTGCTATTTTTATAACTGCTTTGAGTCTGAAACTGTTACTCATGACTGTTAGATCAAGTTTAGCCCATCTAAATTGGCCCATCTCTATTTGCCTCTGTACTCTGTTAGCCAGTCTACGCTTATTTTGAAAATGGAGCAAAACGCCAAGATGGAGAAAAGCTACAGATTTGTGAAAATGAAAAGCTCTTGTGGTTCAATTTTTCAATCTTTAAAAACTTACTCCAATGCTGCATTAGCAGAACTCATAAAAATTTGAAAAAACTGAGAATAAGGCAGTAATTTTGATAATTTTTTAGTAGGTGGAAAAATGCAGCCAAATCGCCATTATTTAAAAAGGTGTAATAACTTTTAAAAATTTTTAAAGTATTTGTCTGCTTTAAAGCCCAGATAANGATTTTGAAAATAATTCTTTCTAGTGGTAGCGAACCAAAGTAGAAATTTTTAAAGCAAATGGATCTCTCATAAAACTTTTATCAGAACTTAAGAATCTAGCCATATGGCCTGCACTTTTATAAGTAATAGTGGACAAGTTACGCTAAAATTAATTTTTTTTAAATATTAAGACATTACTTTTGCTACCGCCTGAAAAGAAGATTTCTGAAACTACGGAAATTCCGTAGCAGTTGGAGGGTATGAGCTTATTCAAACTTCCAAGCCAGTATTGCATATTTTTATATATGCTTAATTATAATAAAAATAGTGGTGGTCAAAAAGATCAAAAATTAAGTTTATAAATGTAATAAAAGCATACATTTTACTACCACTTTAAATATAGAAATAAAATTTTACGCCAAATGCGTAAAAGTTGGCAAGTATGGAACCATATAACTGATTAAATCATTTGGGTCATAACTATAAATAATTTATACAATCGTTGTAATCTTAATTTTGTCTGAGGCGATTGACTGAGGTAAGATACTAAGAAGTACTTGTTGAAAATACGTAACAACTGCTAATAACTGATATAAGTTTAAAGATCTTTATAATTCAGTCCTTACTATTCTAACTTTCATACTAGGGCGCCAAAACAATATTTTCTTCCATTTTAATTTAAAATTTTAAGAATAATAGCTTTTTTCTCTTAATTAATATTTTAATTTAAGAGTACTCCGTACCTCTGATTTCTAAACAAAAATGCTTATGCATGAAAAAAATTGTTATAGGTATTTACAGACACAAACTTGGATAAGTAATTTTCAGTCTCTAAAATTTACAATAAAAGCTCATAAAATGTTTCTAATGAAATTTATTTCTGATAAAACATTTATGTATATGAGGTTTGATTGTCATTTATTACTTACATTTCAAACTAATACACAATATGTTATAAAAAGCAACCACCGAACAAATGTTGTTAGGACAAATTCATTATCATAAGAATATTTAAATTAAATGTCATAAGTATTTTGCGTTGTAAACTAAGTAGAGTTGTTAATTGCTTGCTAATTATTGTAAAATAATATAATGGAAATTCTAACTTCAATATTTGATAACTTAAGGGAGTTAAAACTAAAACCGTATTTCAGGCTCCACTCGAGAGTTTGTTTTTGGAAGAATGATTAAAAAATATTTCTATTGATGTAAATTGATTGAAAAATATTTCTATTGATGTAAATTGATTGAAAAATGTTTCTATCGATTTCAATAAAAGAGATGCTTCAAATTTATAATTCTAGTAATTTTTTTTTTTGATTAAGTATTTTGGTATTTGTCAAAAACACAAATGTGAAGTTTCTTTTATTAGTTTTAATTTTTATTTTTGAAATTTTTAATACGTTATGTATGTGGTAAAAAAGGTCATTAGTGAAGAAACTTTAATAAATTTCTCTTCCTAAGCGCAACTTTAGATAACTAGATAAAAGTGCTTTTGCTAAGCGTTTGTATTACGTTAGCCGTAACGCTAACTTTATTTCCTCTCCCTTAGAGACACGGTGTTACTAAAGAAAATTTTCGGGCATGAGCTGTGAAGTTCATATTGCGCTAATGTTAGAGATAAGGGGAACTTCAATCTTATGCAAAATCTCTCTAATAAAGAGATTTTGAGATAGTATAGGGTTAATCTTACAGTGACCACAATGCCAAACACATTTTATACCTCAAAGCGATTCTACAATTTGTAGAAACATTTTCGTGCGTCCGTTGTGAAACGTTAGAGTCAAGGAAAATTGTAACTCTATACAAAATCTCTCTAATATTTACTTCAAGGCTTCTATATTAAAGAATTTTTTCCTTTCCAATGCCCATCCGATTGACATTCGTCATTCAGGTATTAGTAAGGCAAATTTGTTAGCCACCTTTATAGGAGCACTATATTTCCTGGGACAATGTTGCTCTCACAGTAAGGACAGATAATACAGAGAATGAAAAAACATCCATGCCTTGTCCGGGATTCAAACCCAAGATGCAAGGCCTTCTGATGCAAGGTCAGCTCGCTGACCACTACACAATTCGTTCGACACATATTGAAGTTATAAATGGTGAATTTAATAAATGGAAACTAAATGTATTACTTGATGCATTTGAGATGCAAATGAAGTGAAAAGACAACCCAAAGCAGCAGTCAATCCTCCAAATACAGCGGTCAGTCGAGTGCTCTTCCGGCGACAAAAGGCCACGATTAGGGGTGCAAGGAAGTATCCCATTGCCAGAGCTAACGATCCGAGCCATACTGTAAAGATAAAAATAATAAATCATGTAATAAAATGTAATAAAATTTGACATAACAATAAAAAAATTTATAAAAATTAGGTTAGGCTTTTTCTATATAAGAACTATACATCGTATTTTGAATCCTCTGGTTTTGCTTAAATTATCAACAAACATTGTCCCGTTATCATTTTTCGTTGTTTTTGTTTTCTATTACCGTTCCAAACTTTATTACGTTTGTTTAAATTATCTTGTTTAACGTTACTTCACGATCAAGATCACAAATGGGTATTAACATTTATCGGATCAAGATCAAAAAAAAAAATGGCGAAAGATAAAAAAGATGGCGTTGCTAAATGATCTCCCCCATGTTCGCCTATGACCAACCCATAGTATTGCGGATGACGTCTTGTTTTGAAAGGTTTAATTTTTACCTCCTGATACCATCCAGGTACGTATTGAATATGCTATTAATATGCAATTGTACTAATTGCGTAAACTTATAATTCATGATATCCCAATTAATGACATCACACAATCAAACTTATATTATTTAGAAAACCAATATTAGTTCTCCCTCTCGTTTTGACTTTCAATTATAGAAATATTTTAATCACATTAATTATGTTTACGTATGATTTGAGTATGCTAATTTAAGCTGCACCCATTACCTTACGGTCTATTGTGTTCAAAATTAACGTAATTTTATTAACGTCATATCCAACTGAATTTAAATATTCTATGACTATCCCTACAAGTTTTAACGGTGTTAATGAATTTATGTTCTTTACATTTTTTTGGAAAAAAGAAAACAGCGCAAAAATAAATTAAAAAATGAATTCAATCAAAGAACTACTTAGTATCAGTTCGGACAAACTGAAAGTTGAAAATACATCTCCTAATATTTTGCATTTTTTTTGGTATTTTATCTTAACATAGCCGGTTGTAAAAAAATAACACAATTCACTTCTCGTTGATGTATTTCATTATCCTATCAGCGAGGAAGATTCAACATTAAATGACCATCAAACAGAAATTAACTCCAGGAAAGCACTCAAAACGAAAATCGTTTAACCCTTAATATTTTCCACTTAATTTCTGTTCGTAAGGCGTAAACAACAACAGCCATCCGATAACACTGCAAGATAAATGGGCAAAAGCAAACGATGGAAAAGGTTCATAGAATGCAGTTAATTAATCCTTTTAATGCTTATCGACGATTGCAGTTATAAAAAGAATTAAGAAAGAAAATAAAAATGGCGGCCGGCAATGTGATTGAATACCATTATCTCTGACGTCATACAGATACCGTTGCCACGTAATGAAACTAAATTGCTATGTTAAATTTAGATCTTTATTTCTTTCGAATTAAATTCCATTTGTGTAGATCTCGATAATGATTAGAATAATAAAAGTTAATACATTATCCCTTCCTTTTTATAAAAATATTATTTTTATATATTCTCATATTTTTTTAAGATTTACTAAGAAAATAAAATCTATAAGAACATATTTTTCTGTATTCTTATAGGTTACTAAAAAATTATTTTATTTGATTCATTTGTACGATATTTTTGTGCTTGTCTAACATATAAAAGAAATGGGAGAACATATTTGCTTTAAATAGGGTTCAGATTTCAGGAAGAAAAAAGAACACATTAAAAACTTTTTTATCTTTGAATAGTTTTAATTTGTAAACAGAATCATATCTGTAAATTTACACAGAAATTTGAATAACTAAATTTGCCAGTTTAATTCCATCGAATATTAAAACTAAACCGTTCCACATTTACAACAATTTATATAAACATAAAAGTGTTTAATGAATGTGTAATGCATTAAAACTATCGAACATCGAAGAGTTCAATCTAACTATCGTATTCATTGTGCCAAACTATCGTATTGCATTGTGTAATTTGTTACTTTCTTAAAACAAAATTCCAAACTTTGAAATATTCCTTAATACATGAGTTCTAATAAGTCATGTCCATTTTACTCTTCGAAAATAAGTTTTATGTTTTGAATTTCTCGAACATTCTAAAACATGGTACGAGGGGAAAAAGATCCCATTTATAAAGACTTAAAAAGAGGCGTTCTTAACAATTTATTACATTCTTTATAAAAGTGAAAATATTACTCCATTCAATGTAAGAAACTTTTTCTTCAGATTGATAATTTCTTCCCCTACTAGTATATAAATGGTTTTAGAGATACAGCATGTTCTTTTTGGCGGAAAGTGAAGAAAAAAAAGGTACCCACCCTCCGTATTCTCCGGATTTCATTCAGTTTAACCCTTGGATCCCAAGAAATAAGGGATGAAAAATGATGTTCAATGTGTAAGTGGAGCATTTCCCGTCAATGTAACGTTTTCCCGGTCTACCATTTCTACGCCAGTGACTGGAATCATTTTTCACAAATAACAGATGTAATAGTCAACGGCCCGTGACAGGTTCTTAACTATTTCCTCCTCTTACCCTTTTCTTGTTGGACCAGATATATCACAGTGTGTCCCGAACACGGTATTAAAGGCTTAAGCATTCAAAATGAAATGGCTCTTTTATTCGAGTGTTTTCAGTTAGATCAGTTTTTTTATATCATTTCAGAATTGGTTCTGAAACATATTCATTTGTTTTATTAGGTATCATTAATGGCGAAGTGACTTATTGTTAGCTTAATTTTTTAATGGAAAATGAATTTGACAACTTGAAATTCAATTCGAGCATTATTGATTATTCTATTCAGTTTAATTTATTTCTTCTACAGTGGAAGTTCATTTTCACAACTAAAAATACAACTCGAGTGTTTTCAGTTAAATCAGTTTTTTTAATATTATTTCAGAATTGGTTCTGAAACATATTCATTTGTTTTATTTGGTATCATTAATGGCGAATTTGCTTCTTGTTAGCTAAATTTTTTGCCCATTCAGTGGAAAATGAATTTGACAACTAGAAATTCAATTCGAGCGTTTTCAACATGGAGTAGTTATCGGTTAGATCTGGTTTATTTCACTTTGAAATGATTTATTTGGTTTTGAAACATAGTCATTCGTTCTATTTGATATCATTATCGACTATTCTATTCAGTTTATTTATTTCTTCCACAGTGAAAGTTCACTTTCGTAACTAAAACTTCAATTCGAGTGTTTTCAGTTAAATCAGTTTTTTATATCCTTTCAGAATTGGTTCCGAAACATATTCATTTGTTTTATTTGGTATCATTATATCGACTATCCTATTCAGCTTATTCATTTAGTCTGCATTCAATGAAAGCTCAATTTAGCAACTAAAAATTCAACTCGAGTGTTTCCAGTTTGATCATTTCAGAATTGGTTCTGAAACACATTCATTTGTTTTATTTGGTATCATTAATAGCGAATTTACTTCTTGATACCTTAATTTTTTCTTGCCCATTCAGTGAAAAATTAATTTGGCAACTAGAAATTCAATTAGAGTATTTTCATCATGAAGTAGTTATTAGTTAGATCAGGATGAAATCGGGATCACTTAGAAAGGATTTATTTGGTTCTATAACATAGTCATTTGTTTTATTTGATATCATTATATCGACTATTCTATTTAGTTATTCTGTTTAGTTCATTTCTTCCACATTCAATGGAAGCTAAATTTATTAACTAAAAATTTAACTAGAGTGTTTTCAGTTAGATCAGTTTTTTAGATCATTTCTGAATTGGTTCTAAAACATATTCCTTTGTTTTATTTGGTATCATTAATGACAAATTTACTTCTTGCTTGCTTAATTTCTTTCTTGCCCATTTAGTAGAAAATTAATTGGACAACTAGAAATTCAATTTCAGTATTTTCAACATGGAGTAATTTTCAGTTAGATAGGGGCTTATTTAACTTTGAAATTATTTATTTGGTTCCGAAACATAGTCATTTGTTTTATTTGATGTAATTATAGACTATTCTATTCATTTCATTTATCATTATTAAGTTCAATTTAACAACTAAACATTCAGCGCGTGTGTTTTCAGTTAGCTCAGTTTTTAATGATGTTTTTGATTCATTTGGTCTAAAAAGGTTAATATTTGTTTTATTTGATATCATTTTCGAGATAATTTATTTCTATTAGTTTAATTTCCCTATGATATTCTATGGGATATTAATGTGAAACCTAAAAATTCCTTTTTGAGTGTTTTCTGATTTTAAATTTATTAAGTTCTGAAACGTATTAATTAGTATTAATTTATTTCAAAATACCGTCTAAATTATTTCTTTTTCATTTTTCTTCTATCACATCTAACTTCAAATTATATTTGACAACTTTAAATTCAATTCGAGTGTTTTCAGTTGCATGAGTTTTTTTTTATTATTTAAGATTTAAGTGGTCGTTAAATGCAATCATTTATTTTATTTTATATCCACATTATCGATTCATCTACTTCTGTTTATTTTTCTTCTACATTCAGGGGAAAGTTTTAATTTGAGAACGAAAAATTAAATCGACTGTTTTCAGTTTGATCGTTTATTTTTTAACCTCATTTTCGATTTATTTGATGCTGAAAGGTAATCAATTGTTTAATTTTATTACATAGTCGATTAATTTACTTCTGTTAATTTTTTACTCCTTCCTCTAATATAGAAAATTAATTAGAAAGGTAAAAATTAGATTTTAATGTTTATATTTAGGCCGAATCCTTATATCATTCCAGATTTCAAACGGTACTGAAATGCAACCATTTGTATCAATTTACGTCATTATCAACTAATTGGCTTCTATTTAGTCTATATTTTCTTTCACATTCAGTTTAAAATTAGTTTTACTACTGAAAATTCCACTCCAGTGTTTTTAGTTATATTAGGTTCTTAAGTGCTTTCAGTTTTATTTAATCGTTAACATAATCATTCGTTATATTATATAACATTATCGACAAAGTTTTATTAAGTTTACTTTTTTTTCTTCGTGTATCTTCCTATAGTTCGTATCGATGATACTAGATTAGAATATGGAGAAAAAAAAAATTTTTTTTTAATTTTCCCCGACCAGCCCTTATTTAGGGCA